TAAAAAACGACAGTAAAACTTTCGAAACTGTTCCATATTAGTTATAATCTGGTATCAACGAACAACAATTTCCAAAAAAAATTATCAAATAATTATAATTTTTTTATTTATCGGCAAAACAGAGTGTCTGGCTTATTACTGGTGGCTCAAGTATAGGTAACTGATTTCCATCCTCGATGAATTTTTTATTTGTTCGTTCCATCTGTTCCTAGTTAATTTTGTTTACTCAGATGAGCTTTCGTTTGTTTAACGCTTTTGATGACGTAATTGCCGCTTTGATGGAATCACAAAAATGAACAGGACGGCTTATTTTACATGAAAGAGTGCTAAAATATGGAATTTACTGCAGTATATCCACTTGAAGAGTTTTTCCATAATAATAATGATATTAACAATGTTTTATTCCTTTCAAATGAGCATTTAACAATGATATAGGAAACTTCAAGTAAAAAAAACATGTAGATGTGTTACATAGAGAGTCCACTACCTTGATTACAATTATTTGGAAGTATACTCAAAATACTCATAAAAACAACCCTCTGAAAGGTATTCTTTAACTTAATGGGATACTCTTTATATTTGAGGGTAGAAAATTGAATAGCTTGGGGGCTGCTAGAGAGGGTGATTTTTGAAACAATCTAGTACGATGTTGCTGCAGTTTAATTAGATTTAGGCGTTCCATATGAATCACTTAGTGCAATATTTACTTAATTCGAATTACTCAAATCTTTTATTCTTGAATCCGTTCAATGTATTTTGAAAAATGACAATTATCTTCGAGATAATAGCAAAGGTTTCGTTTTTAGAATTTTCGAATATTTTCAATAAATAGAATCATTGAAAAATGCAGTCCAATCCATTCAGAATCCGTCAATAACAAGAAAATTACATTGGAAAATGATGCGATTCATTGAAACGTTTTCAGGAGACATTGGAAAAATACTTAATTGAACAAGAAAACTATTTTCAATTTGAACTTTTCATTAACTTATTCATGAAGGTGTATTAGACTGATGATACAATTTTCACAAAACAAATTTAATTCAAGACGCGTTTTACTGAACGGCAGCTTCATCAATTGGACTGGTAATGTCCAATTGACAAATTCCAGAAAGTCTCAATGTCACCAGAATCATCATTTTCCTGTTAGATCCCTAACCTCATATTTCCGAAATACATACGATTTAATATCTTCAATCGTCTCTTCCCTGTTGATGTTACATTGTGCGGCTTTCTGGCAAAAATTGGTCTGCTGGTTCAACTCCTCGAACAAAGAAGCTTCTATCCCGTAGCTCGGTTTCAGCAGCGACTTACTCTGATGTTCGTCTACGATTGTGCTGATCATCTCACTGAGATGTTTCTTCAGATGATGAGTCACCGTTGCAATATAGTCCTCGTGTTCTGGAATTTCCTGGTTCAAACCACCATCTACGTACTTCACTGGTATCCGGATCATATGTTTCTCAGTCAATTGATTCTGGAAATTGAATGACATTTGACAAATTTGCTCCATGTGATGAAAATCAATCAGTTTATGGAAATAATCATAGAAGCGGCCCAACAGTTGAAATCTGTGGAACACCTACCTTGTGAGTAAAAATACTGTGCAGTACAACACATATCTAAGAAATATAAAGTGTCAAGATACTGTATTATTACCTTCAGATCCTTTTGTAAAACGTTCAGTCTCCTGTGGGCTTCAGCTTCTCCAGGTGTCATGTTATCCGGAGTTTTTGCCGTTGGTGTATAGACTCTGTTCAACCACACGCATCTCTTTGCCAATTCTTGACTCATGAAAACTGTATTGTGGACTTCCTGTACACAGAAATGACATTCAGGGGTTTTGCTGACTCAAAGCTCACCAGGTTCAAAATTTGAATCTACCAAGCACTCAATAGTTTCATCTTCATTGATTATAATTCAACAACACACCATATTTCTGATAGAATATGCTTAAAAGCAGTTGATTAATCTCAAGTTACAAAAGTTACTTTCACTTTGCGGACATTACTATCAAATCTGAAAGAACAATTCGTTTCGGCCAGTCTAAGCTCCCTACACTGTACATTAATGGACTGATACCTATTAGAAAACCACTACTCCCCTGACTAATACCACGAAGGGTGTTGAATTATATCCGACAGGTGTCAGTGCAGGATTCTTCACTGAAGTTATTTCTGCATATGCTTTTGGCGATACAACTGCCGGAATAGATTGTCAATTATTTCCGAAAATTGAAAAGCGGATTCCTTCAAAGTATAATTCATCAAACTAGGCAAATGCGGACAAGAAACAACAGGTTTGTCATCGCCTCATCTGCCTGTGAACGAGGTAACCAACCGCATTTCTAAAATTTGCCTAATTTCTCGTATAAGGAAAGAAAATCGTTCACATATAGTCAGTGGGCATCTAAAAGAACAATTCGTTCAGGCCAGTATGCCCAATATGTGAAAAGACATTACTATATATTATGAAAGCTTGCAAATATTGCTGTCTTGACAGCCGCGTGTAGCAATAAGTGTACTCGCAAGGTACTGCATAATATCCTTTGCTATTCACATCAATTGTATTCCAAATTGTGAATACATCAATTTGTTTGTGGACGATACGCTACTTGTATCAAGTGATGATATGGATGACCCTATAGAACATCAAAGAGTTTCTGAACATACACTGAACAATAAGTTCAAACTGAATGTTAACAAAATAAAAGCCACCATATGAATAGTAGAAGATAACACCCGATTTCTAGCCTTCCCCCACCACTATGAGGTAATTAATATCATCGACTGACGTCACATGGCCTGGAGTTATATGCAAAGCCTTATGACCTTGAACATGAGGGTTGGCCCTGATATTGGGTCATCTCTCCGGTATGTGACATTGGGTTTCGACCTAGGAGGATATGAGGTTTGACTTTGAACATGGAACTTGACCTTCAGATCACTGTGGTAGATTGTATACACGGTAAAGTCAGGGTTTGTCGGCTTCATTCAAACATTTTGAATTTGAAAAATCACTTTCACTATATCTCTTTCCATGAAAATGTTTATTTCTACGCAGATCAGTCGCCATCTAACATTTCAATCTAACTTAAGAGTCCATAATACAGTGGCATTCTGATTACTTTATTTTGTTACTTGATGATAATTGCAAAACACTTCTCATAAGTATGCAATCTCAATTACCGAAACAATGTCTTGCCCCAAATCATATAACCTTTTATATATATGTAATATCTCTGATAATGGAGCATTCAACCATAATTTGATCAATTGATTCAATATAATTGAAGTCTTCTGTTAAGTAGAATAGCCACAGCTAGACTTCGCCATCAGTATCATCATTTATTTATTTACTATTTGTTATTCGTCCTCGAAAAATATATAATTGATATAGGAAAAAAAAATATTTCTGTCTGATCTTTACTGAGTTCTTCATTTGTTACGACCGGTTCAACAAACCGAAACTTAGTAGAAATCAGACAAAAGTTATTTTCCTTATTCTACAAAATAAATAGATCATCAATCATCATCAATCATCAATCGAACAAGATATAATTAGTATTTCCGTGAATTCGTTAACCATAACCTAAATTACCTGTTCAACGACTGTAGTCAAATAAGTATCTCTCAGCTCTGGTGAAAATACCGTTATGAGTACTGCCAACATCTTATCTATTTCTGTGGCCCATTCCGCAAAAGCCTTCTCTCGATCTTCCAGAGAGGTTTCTTTGAAACCTGGAATATGGCAGGAGATAGGTCTCAGTCGGTAACACGGTGGTTGCGAATCGCTGTCTAGCATGTACCTGGAAGTGGAAGAGAAACTGTTGACAATATGCTACCAGAAGACACAAGTAGACAATCGAGAAAACAATAAGCTGGAGAATATCAAGTATTTCTTGACTTGTGTCTGTGCATGACGTCTCAGCAGTAAAATTGCAAACGTATTTGTTGTTTTCGAAATATTGACTGTCATTCTCGGTTTCGAAAAGAGTGGAACCACTTTTCATACAATCTTTTGAGAATTTGGTTGATAAATCTTCACCTGGAAATAAAGAAGACAGGTAGTTTTAGGACACCGAAGATCCATCACTGAGAATATTTGCGTCAAAACTTATATTCATTGTTTCCAGAAGATTTCTGGACACATAGGTATGCCAAGTTCAAAATTGAACGTTCGATGCTCTAGTATAAGGTCTTCCAACAGGGACNCAAATCAAATTCTTCAACTAAGCTTCTAACTGGATCAATTGCAACATTTATTTCTACATGAATCATTTGTAAACCTGAGAAGTGCATCTGTGAAAATTATTGATTTTTTTCATGTGATTACCGGTGTATTTTATATTGTGAATGTGTCTGAAGGTCACTTTTCTCTTCCAGGAGTACCTTCTGAACCGGCAAGCAGCTTCATCGGACCAGACCTGTCATTAGCCTCGTTTTGGCCTTTGTCAAACCAAGAATGGACACCTGGAAGGTGAGAAGATTTATGGACTCCGGCAAGATCTTCCAGAATTATCTCAATCCAAGGCGTTTATTCACGGTTCGAAGCTTGTTACCAAAGAGCTGTTGAACTACAGTAAGGATGAATTACGATGTCAAACAGGTCTTATTACAGGTCATTGTCATTTGAATCATCATTTGCAGATACTCGGGCTGTCAGAAGACAGTGTGTGTCGCCTCTATTCGGAAAATGATGGAGCAGCAGACCCTCTGGGACCCGAACCAGGTTTTTAGAGTTCAGCAGAGCCGTACTCTTACCTTCTGACCTGAAAGACCACTCACTTTACAAACTAATCTGCTTCGTTAAGAAGCTGCGTTTATTTGGTCGAGTGTGAATAGGTTGCGGTGGAGGGTCAAATAGACCCACTCACTTTGGACCTAACTTAACCTTTTGAACCCTCGAAGTTCTTTCCTATACTGTTGAAGGGAAATTTTTTTTCCATCTTAGATTATATGACTATCTTGTTGACTATTCATGTTTCTGATACAGTGGATTTTTTCTTTAATGTATGACTTTTCTGACTAGGGTTCTTTCCAGTATTTGATACTATACACAAATCCTGAAGGATATCATGACATCCCGCGAAAAACATCATATATAGGATCGAGAGAAGATAAAACATCATTAATCCAATACTGGACAGCGGTTTCAACATGGTAGAGGTGCTAGCCTGGACCATGCATGTATTTCTGGACTCAACTGTCCTGAAGGGACAAGCCTGAGAAGGTTAAGATGATGACACCTTTCCTTGCAACATCAATGATAAATCAGGCTACCAAAGACGGTCAGTTGCAAAGTCAATCTTTGGTATCAATAGCCAAAAGAGGGAAATCTGCCCTTTTTTTTTGTGAGACTACTAGTTGAAACTAGAGTATGAAAATACAGCATTTATAATCTCATCTGCTTGGTGATGGGTTGAACTGTTAGGCTTAACTGTTCGCCTGTGAGGAGAAATACGATGCCTTTAATGGATATCATCGTTTAAGGGCAGTTGGGTACATTAGTAAAGTTGTGGTCCAATAAGCACTATTGATGAGATCTATGGCAGGTTGAAACCTGTCTGGGTCACGAATGCTCTGTTTTTGAACGATAGTTTTAATCTGTTCCCACTCTGTTTTGTGACATTCTAAATCTCATGTACAAGGATTCGATACTGTAAATTATTTGCCCTATTGCCATTTTGAAGTTAGTGATATTCGTATGAGGAGTTGTTGAAAGAGTTCGTTGAAAATTCTCAATATTATGATGATGAGTAAATGGCATGGGTTGAAATGTGTGAATTTTAACTCTGTAAGGAGTGTATTCTTGATACTTTGTCATTAGATCTGGTTTGGAAGATTGGAACTAGGCACTACATTACGTCTTGAAATTCAGAACAGAGGACCGAAAAACATTGTAATTCGACCTACCAGTGATTTGAACAAAATTTTAAATTAACATTAATTGAAACAACCACAATAAGTAAATTTTATTGTTTTCCCCAAGACATTCGGTTCTTCTTTCAAGCAGAGAAAGTCTCTATCCAGACATGTCACAATCTACTGAAGCTCCATGTGGAAGGGTATTGTTCCTCTGATCACTTTTCTGATACTACTAAAGGCGTCGTTGATTAGGAAGGGATGCGATAAAATTCTAATCGTTTCAACCAAACATAATGGAGATGAGAAGAATATTTTTCAGAAGACGTTTAAAGAAGTCTTCTTCAGTAGTCCCCCAAGAAAACAGCCATAACTATCCCTCAAGCATTAGGTTCTATTCTGAAAAACCCAAGAAGAAATATTAGTTCCTTTTGATATTGAGGAATCGACCCCACAAAAGATACAGAAGGTTGAGAATCCTCTTTAACTCTCTGGTAATTCACAAACATTATATCTGGTTTTGAAGATTGGAACTAGGGACTACATTACGCCTTGAAACTCAGACCAGAAGACAGAAAAACATTGTAATCCGACCTATCAGTGATTTGAACAAAATTTGAAATTAACATAGATCAATTGAAACAACCACAATAACTGAATTTTATTGTTGTCCCCAAGACATTCGGTNATAAAGAAATCTAATCTAATCTAATCTGATAACAATTTAAAAATTTTCAATTTATCAGCAAATACTTTTCATCAGGTGCATCTTTTAAAAATTGTTGAATTACTTCAGAAGTTAATGTTTTTGACTGTTTTGGAGCATATTTTTCAATACAGTTTTTAATAATTATGCAGTGCTTCGGTTTTGTCGTTATGGAAACGCCGACAATGGGATACTTGGATATTGCACGGCGTAGCGTTGTCAACAAGGAGAACGTGTCATATCAATCTGACATGCAACAATTCATGACTGACTTGGGTTATCGTGACAACACTGAGAAATTATTTCTCACTGTAATGGCGGATATTTTTCACTGCGTGAGAAATATTTCGTTTTGAAAACATGAAACCGATGAGAGAAGTGGCACATTGTATAGCATCCGTAGAAAAACAAAGTATCTGAAGTAGTAATTACAAAATGGGGCATCACAAAGCTAGTTTTTACAATAAAACTATTATATCACAAACATATTTCAATAGCGGAATTCGGGAAAATAAGTCACTTACGTTGTAATAATCAAATAGCATTTGATTTGCCCATTTCCTATGCTCCTTATATCGAACCGATACTGCTTGTCTCAACATATTGTCCTTCCACTGGATGCCTAAAACGCCACCAGTCAGAGTCCACTGAACGAAAGGAGCTAGATGTTTGTTGAGTCTCGACCAGGCTAAACATGCCGGAGCCCATGATACTGAAAAAAACGAAATATTTGTGCAATGGAGAATATTTTCCAGGGGAGAAGTTGTTTTCTGATAAGTGTCAATCCAGTCAGTCGTGGTAATAGTCAGGAGAGTAGTTGTTTTCTGATAGGGGTCTCAGTCCATTAACCTACAGAGTTGAGACTGACCTGAACGAATTGTTCTATTAGATAATTTGATCTACAGCCACTCTCCAAGTAGGTATGCTCCCTTAGTTTATGTGAAGCTTTTTTCTCATACAAATAATTGAGCGATTCGGATATGCGGTTGGTTACCTCGTTTACAGGCAGATGGGGCCATGACAAATTTGTTGTCATTCGATTCAGCCTTGTTCGAGGAATGATAATCTGAAAGGAATTCGATTTTCAATCATGGGAAATCATCGACTTTAAGTTGATGATGGACACTACCTTACACTGACGAGTGACCAATTGCCTGAAACCGGTCTGCAAGTATACCCGTTCCAGTAATTGAAGATCAAATTCCGTACGTGTATCGTCAAGAGCATATCCAGGAATTACTTCCGCGAAAGATTCTGCATTGACACCTGTCGGATATAATCCAACGCCCTTCGTGGTATTAGCCAGGGGGAGTAGTTGTTTTCTAATAGGTGTCAGTCCTAACCTACAGTATAGGCGAGTTGAGACTGTTCTGAATGATTGTTCTTTTTGATAATTTGGTTTAATAGATCCAGTTAAGTTAGGTTAGGTTAAATAAAATACTCTACATTTATTTACGTACATTCAAAGTGAGTGGATCAATTTGACTCTTCACTTCAACACTCTATGTGAATATTGTGACTCACACTAATGTGTGAGTCACGAATGAATCCAGTTTTTCGGCGAGGAAAATTATTCAGTTGTCGAGTAATTTTCCAGGGCCAGGAACTAAAACTCTACCAAGTATTGAAAACCTGGTGCGACGGGCACGCTTAAAGTATATGCTTTGCTGTTTCATTACCCTTCGAACAAAGATGACACATACGCTCAAGTATTTTGTATGGTGATTCCAAACGACCTGGAAGTAGGCCTGATGGAAAAACGCAGGCAAACGCTAGCAACTGTTTGATACATTCTTTGAAGGATATTCTGATGCCTTGAAATAGGTTGATCCTGGTGGATTCTGCCAGAAGTCTAGAACTGTTCTTGCAGTGCGGGATTCAGGTTCCACTTGACGGGACGAATAGTGATACTGATGACAGGTGCTGGTCCATCGAAACCATATGTAGTGTCCCTTCTTGCAAAAAAGTCTGTAGCTTCTTTATCTTCCTCGTCTTTCAGTGTTTGTTCCTCTACCTGAGATTATGACTTTATAAAGCAGTTCGAAGTTAACAGTTTGAGGCATTAGGGCAATTACTCCTAACGAGAACAATGATCTGAGTCCACAGAGATTGTCTAGTTTTGAGTAGGACCTGATCCAAGTGAGTGTAGGCGAGTTTTTGTACCAATTATAATATCTATGTATTTCACTGTCGCTGCAAATGGAATAACCCAACCCACGATTTCTTCTCCTGATGGAATTGACTCTCAGGATGAGGTTTGTACACATCTGCTCCTTCTGGTATCAAATATAGATATCGTCGCTCTTTAGAGGAAGCCATAGGCTACCTTCTTCAACTAGCCCTTCAGAAACGTCAATTTGCTTGGGAAAGAGGCAGAAAAAGAAAAGTACCCTTCAATGGGCTTTTCATTTCTCCATCTTCATACGAAAAATGCGAGAAACTATTAAAGGAAGAAAGAAAGCTAATTTCGAAATAAACTCTCCACAAAGATTTATGGATCATGCATGGAAGTTACTTCCAGATATAAATTGGAAGGAGAAGTTCTTCTGGAACAACTACTTTCATATAAACATTGAATTACATGAATTAAACTTACTTGGAACACTGTCATCTTCAATGGCGGACATCGATGTTTCGGAATAAGAAATACCTTCTCATTCCCCGAAATATTTCTCTTTAAAAAATATACCCCTTTCAGTTTGAACGAGTTTTTTTGTCTGTGATTGAATTGAATAAGCGAATGAATGTCATTGAATCTACTTACTGTGACATGAGTAGATTTAAGTCATCCGTGGCATGAAATCACGTTATGAATGAAATGAGTGTTTCTTCTTGTAATGTTTTCCAGATTGGTGCTAAAGAGGCTTTAGAACAAGTTTTTTATTCCGAAACATCAATGTTCGCCATTGAGGATGACTGTGTTTCATATAAGTGGAATTTTACCTCTTTCGTATACTATATTGTGTAGCAATCCTATGAATGATATATGATTCAATGCCGTAACGAATATTGACAGTACAAACTGAATTCAAAGTTCATATGAAAGTAGTTGTTTTAGAGAAATTTTTCTTGCAGTTTGTGTCGGAGAAGTTTATTTTGATATTGATTGATTTCTTCCTTCATTGGAAGTTTCCCACATTTTTTATAAAGATGTAGAAATAGAAAGCCATAACTTTTTTTCTCAATCATTTTAGAACTTGAACTCTGTCCACCCATTGTGAAGGAAAATGAAGCTGAGGTGCCAATTCCTTCAAAATCTCACAAATACTACAATGGTATTACTTGATAAATTTTTCGCTAAAATTAGTGATATTGCTATTTTTCATTTGCGAACTCACTTGCTTAACACAAATTCTATGATGGGGATTTTTTTGGTATTTTTTACAAGAACTGCTGCCAAAATGTCTTTTATATGTAAATCAATATTCATAACATTATCGATATTCAAATTGTTCTGCTATTTTCTGTTAAATATTCACCCTCTCCAATATTTACTTACCGTAAGTCGTATTGCTATGAAAAGTTCCATCAAATGCCAAAAGATCAATCATTTCGGAATCAGTTATCCCATGTTTCGTACTAGTTAAAATCGCTAGGGCGTGTTGAACTTGGGTAACTCCTAGGATCGCTTCTAATTCCTCCAACATCAGATTCAGCTGATCGTTCACATTGCCTTTTGGGATAATTGCGTGCTCTTTATCTACCCACCATGATGTCTGCCAAGCCAGGACCTGTTGGAAAAATGCAGAAAATATTTAGGTAAGGTTAAGTTAGGTGAAAAGTGAGTGTGTCTATTCGTCCCTCTATCGCAACCCGAAGGGTTTATCGTAGCTCACACCTATATACACTCGACCAAATAAACATAGCTTCTCAACGAAGCCGATTAGTTTATATGGTGAGTGATCTTTCAGGTCAGATGGTAAGAGTGCCAAACTCTGATTCAGTCCTCAGCGACGCAGGCACAAAGTATATGCTTCGCCATTTCATCATTTTCCAAACAGAGGCGACACATGCTGTCTTCCGACAGTTCGAGTCTCTGCATATGATGATTCAGACGACAGTGACTGTGAGACGAACTGTTAGACATCGTAGTTCATCCCTACTGTGGTCCTACAACTGTTTGGCAGCAAGCTTTGAAGGGTAAATGAACGCCTTGGAGTGAACCAATCCTGGAAGATTTTGCCAAAAGTCCATACATCTTGTTGTTATCTAGGTATCTTCTTAGACGTCCCCAAGGCGTTTGACAAAGTTTGGCATGACGGACTACTGGCCAAGATGAGCGATTTTGGATACTCAAAACCAATGGTAAGATTAATTTAGTCTTTTCTAGCTGACAGGTGATGCCGCTGCAAAGTGGAGACGAATTATCAACAGTTCGACTACTGGAGGCAGGAGTCCCGCAAGGTGCAGTCCTTTCGCCACACCTCCCGCAAGGTGCAGTCCTTTCGCCACACCTCTACTCCGTATACACGGCAGACGTGCCCAAGCCAGAGAACAACTTTAACAAGTTGGCGTTCTACGCGGACGACACGGCCCTGCTGGCGAGATCTACGAGTCAAGCACACGTTACGAGACACCTACAACAACAGGTAGACAGACTGGAGGAGTGGGCTAACCTGTGGAAGATCAGTATCAACCCTGGCAAGAGTCAGGCGATACTGTTCACTCGCAGGTTCGTACAACTGAAAGACAACGTCACCTTCAACGGACAAGACATTCCGTGGACAAACAAAGCGACATATCTGGGGGTCATCCTAGACAAGAAACTAACATTCCAGGCCCACATACAGCAGAGAATAGGAATGGCCAGACAGGCCAGAAGACGCCTGGCGCCGGTCATAGGAAGAAGCAGTAACATGGCATTGAAAGTCAAGTTACTAATGATCAGAACGATTCTAATGGCAATAATACTGTATGCATGCACTGCCTGGGGCCAGTGCGCACAGACATACAGAAAGAAGATCCAATCGTTCATGAATGCGAGCGTAAGGGCCGCTGTAAACGCACTTTATTATATACCCAATAGATTTATATACAGAGACCTAGACCTGGACACGCAATATGTGGACGTGTATATGAGAGAACATGCAGAAAGCACGTTCGATAGATTCAGATCGCACTCAAATCCAGCGTTCCGCGATCTACACGATGCGTTAAATATAGATGACCCCAGATTCCGAGAAAGGGACAAACATCCCAGGCCGACTAAACAGAATAACAGACCGCCCCCGTCAGTCGCCGTCAGGCGGCTCATGTAAGTATAACACTAATCAGATACACTCTCTTCCAGGTAGGTTCAGCGAAGAACACTTCGACCGCGATCGCGACTCTAAAAATTTTTCTTGGGTGCACTGAGAAACGCTCGATGCATAACACAAAGCCGCCGGTTAGTTTTTGGGGGCCTTCATGCTTAAATTCAGTTGGGAATAGTCAGATAAAACAAAGATTTGATAAAGAAGTAAAAGCACCTAAAGGCTGACTTTCGACCAAAAAGAGGTCAGGTGTCAATCTTGCTGAAGTGCCCAACAGCAAGTTGAGGACCGCTCGGAAAGCGGGGGTGGATGGAGTGGGGTAGTAGGTTCTCCTCGCTAAATAGCTGGGGGGGAAGCTCCTACTTCAGGGCACTCAACCCGGGAGAGGGCATGGGAGGGTTATCTAGGTATTTGTTTGGTAAAGCCTAAAACGATGCCAATGACAGGTTCTGGTCCGATGAAACTGCTTGAAACACCCTTCTTTGCAAGCGAGTCAGCAGCCTCATTGCCCATCAGGTCAGTATGGTTAGGAATATAGACCAGAGACAATTTTTTGAGTCGTCTATTGAGGAGTATCGTTTTTGGCAATTTGTTACCAATTTAGATAAAGCTCGGTAGCAGCCAAGAGATCCAAATGCTGCTTGACTGTGTTGGATTTATATTGGATATTATTCTGAAAATCATTGACATGAGAAAGTTCTGTTCAGCCCATGACTGGAGCCCCAGATTATTATCCTCAATCTCAAAGCAGAGTGAAATTTTGCATAAAATACTATAATGAGTGCTTCAAGATCAACATTTTTTTTAGAACTCTGATGGCGTATGTTACCGAAGATAGTTTAAGGCAAAGGTTATCTATCTGACTGGTCCAACTTAGTGTCATCAACGCATAGATCTAGAAACTTCACTATGATATTGCAAGTGATTTCTCAATTGTCCATAATTATGTTTTGTAGTGTTTCTATACTGTTATTGATTTTGAACATGGTACAATCTGTTTTTTCATCGATCACAACTAACTTATTCCCTAGAAAATAATCTTTGGATTGTTCGATTATTTTGCTATCCCATCAATTTTCAGTAACGATAGTAACTTTTAGAATAGTTATTATTTTTACAATTCTATTTTTCATCAAAATGGCAAAAATAGTGCATACAGCTTGTACATTTTGTGAAATTCCTAATTATTCACGAATGAGTGAAAGGTGAGTTCATTTAGGCCGGTTGACATGATCCAAGATCACAGTCTACTTGGGTAGTCCACGAGTAGCACTTGGACGTTACTTTGATCGTGTCACCAGTTCATCCAAGTGCGCTTGGATCAATAGGTTACATCCAAATTGACTAGGACATTACCCATATTACTTGGATCCAAGTGGTGTTTGTTCGTGAAATGAAATGGCGTCGGTATATTAGATTCATGAAGTTATACGAAGCTAAGGAAAGTTTGTAGAATGTACGTTTAGCGGAATATAAAAATAAAGATGCTAGAAATTTGGCTCACTTGCCAAGAAACGAATGGCAAATTGTAGTTTTATCCTTGCAGGTAATGCAGCTCTCATAATTGTATCAAATAGTTGCTCAAACTGTTCTGTAGTTATTCTCAGATGGTTTTTGAATGTTACTTTATTCTCACCCGCCACTTCTGTGAGGAAATTGGAGGAAGCTCCAATCGACTGACGCTTACGTATCCAATTTCGAGTCAAAATCTTTAATTTCGTCTCTTTTATCTATTTTTCCTGCATTTCAGGCTCGTTTATGAGCATATCAGCAACCACTCGCACACTTTCCAAATAATACAGTTCCGCCATCTTTGTATGTTTATCGGACATCCAACTCGTTTTGCTGTAGAAACCAACTTGGTCCAAGTCTACGTGTCCGAGCACACTTGGTCCAAGTTGGTATCCAAGTGTACTTAGATCGTGCCAACCTGTTTTTACTGTAGAGAATGAATAAATAAATAAATCATATATGTAGCTGACTCTAAAAGTATCCCTTTATATTCTCCCTCACCTTCGAATAAAGTGGGATAGTGCACTCTTGCACAGACTTCAACACGCAGTCTTGTATCTTGGAATTGACACTATGGTTGTACTGCATCACGCTGGACATAAGGATACCTTTAGCCTCTTCTTGACCAAGCATGGGCATCTTGATGAAATTGTCTTCGTTCAGTTTTTCGCTGATCTTCGAGTACATCTCGCTGGATTCCGAAACAGAAATGATCAGTTTGATGTTGTCCGGTAACACCGTCGGAAGCCAATCTATGCTCTTGGAACTGTACTTTCTCACTTGGTCCAGACCATCTAGTAGGATCACCAGAGGTCTTTGTAAACAAGTTTCTGTGAGAAGAGCCGGGAGAACTTTTTGGTAGGTTTCTATGTTCTGAAATGAGAATCATGGTGTCATTGAATTACATTACAAGTCTAGTAGAATGAACATTTTTGTGGCAAGAGGGGTAGGTTCTATTCCAGAATGTGGAATCAGTTTTTTCTCACATAAATGAATATATACTCATTATTCCAGTTTATTGTATGATTTTCACTATAAAGGGTTTTACAAAAACCGCGACACGTGTTCGCGTGTTATTGTTATAAATATTTTACGCTTGAGAAACCTATTGTATAGCGAAACACGTATCGCAGTTCTTGTAAAATCCTTTACAGTGGATTTTTTCTTTAATGTATGACTTTTCTAACTAGGGTTCTTTCCAGTATTTGATACTATACACAAATCCTGAAGGATATCATGACATCTCGCGAAAAACATCATATAAAGGATCGAGAGAAGATAAAACATCAGTAATCCAATACTGGACAGCGGTTTCAACATGGTAGAGGTGCTAGCCTGGACCATGCATGTATTTCTGGACTCAACTGTTCTCAAGGGACAAGCCTGAGGAGATGAAGATAATGACACCTTTCCTTGCAACATCAATGATAAATCAGGCTACCAAAGACGGTCAGTTGCAAAGTCAATCTTTGGTATCAAGAGCCAAAAGAGAGAAATCTACCCTTTTTTTTTGTGAGACCACTAGTTGAAACTAGAGTATGAAAATACAGCATTTATAATCTCATCTGCTTGGTGATGAGTTGAACTGTTAGGCTCAACTGTGAGGAGAAATACAATGCCTTCGATAGATATCATCGTTTAAGGGCAGTTGGGTACATTAGTAAAGTTGTGGTCCAGTAAGCACTATTGATGAGATCTATGGGAGGTTGAAACCTGTCTGGGTCACGAATGCTCTGTTTTTGAACGATAGTTTTAATAAAATATGCTGTTCCCACTCTGTTTTGTGACATTCTAAATCTCATGTACAAGGATTCGATACTGTAAATTATCCACATTGCCATTTTGAAGTTAGTGAGGTGAGGAGTTGTTGAAAGAGTTCGTTGAAAATGGTCAATATTATGATGATGAGTAAATGACATGGGTTGATATGTGTGAATTTTAACTCTGTAAGGAGTGTATTCTCGATACTTTGTCATTAGATCTGGTTTGGAAGATTGGAACTAGGGACTACATTACGCCTTGAAACTCAGACCAGAAGACAGAAAAACATTGTAATCCGACCTATCAGTGATTTGAACAAAATTTGAAATTAACATAGATCAATTGAAACAACCACAATAACTGAATTTTATTGTTGTCCCCAAGACATTCGGTTCTTCTTTTAGGCAGAGAAAGTCTCCATCTAGATATGTCACCGTCTACTGAAGTATTGTTTCTCTGATTTCTTTTCTGACACTACTGAAGGCGTCGTTGATTAGGAAGGGATGTCATAAAATTCTCATCTTTTCAACCACACACAATGAAGATAAGAATATTTTTCAGAAGGTTACTGCCAAGTTATTGAATCTAAATAATCGAAAAAATACCAATTGCTCACTCAACGAAAATGAAAGAAATGTGGATTACATCATAGTTTTGGTCCTGGAGAAAAACGTGATGCGTATTAACGAGTAGTTTTTATAGTTTGAGAAATGGTTACCTTACTTCCTGTAAGGTGGATAACAGAGGCAATTCACATCAATGAGAAAAAAGTTAACAGAAACATTAATGTCATCAGCACACTCAGCAAGCCTATTCAGCCAAAAAGCTGCAGAAGTGGATATAGCTGTAGATAGTATAACAATTTCCATTTATACGATTCTATGTAGTTATAGCTACCAATCTAATTTAGTTCGAAATAATGTTTAGGCAAGGCTATAAATTAACATAATAACTCTGCAACAAAGGGTTCAGAGGAAAATGTACCTCGACAAAAACCCATAAAAAAATTCTTTGGAGGAGTATAAAAAAGTTTAAACTAGTCTTTTTCAGTAGTCCTCCAAGAAAACAGCTATAATTATCTCTCAAGCTGTCCAAACTGCCGAACAGTCCTATTTTAGGCATTAGGTTCTATTCTGAAAAACCCAAGAAGTGATATTAGTGCCCTTTGACATTAAGGAATCCACCCCACAAAAGATACAGAAGGTTGAGAAGCCTCTTTAACCCTCTGGTAATTCACAAACAAGAGGATTAAAGAATTTTTGGTAATATATAACCGGAAAACTTGGTTGACTATACTAGGAGGATGGAGCTTCATGAGGTTATGACGGTTCTATCTGTGTTTTCTGCCTGTCAATATTTTCAGTTCCCTCGCAATATAACAGGTCATGGAATACCTGATGAGTTTATTCAAGACTGAACAATCAATTTATTTTCATGAAATCAATTTGGTTACAGATAAAGAAGAAGATTTGATATCAGAACAGTATTAATCCCAATCCCAAATGAGAACTTTTCCCAGTCAACAGAAATGCAATAGTTTTTTTAGTTGGTAATACGCACAAGTGCTTGTTTTGGATTTATTCCACGCCAGATGTTCCAGTTGAAACTTTGAATATTGGAAAGCTAGACAAAACATTTCACCATGGACTTCATGTCCCATCCACTGGAATGAGGCACGAATCTAACAGTCCAGCAAGTAAATGAAAATAGTGCCCGAAATGATGGAAGTGTCATTTTGTTAATGATGAGAACTTGTTTACTTACATGTGTACAATAGCATTTATGGCCATAATTCAATATTGAACACTGATTTGTGATGGAACTCAGAAGTTGTTCAACAGTACTCGATTGAGCGCTAATCCCAACAAATCGTACAATTGAAAAGGCTTCTGGCAACCACTGTTGGCAGCATTGAGCAATCCTTGCGAGCAAAGTCGTTTTTCCGCATCCACTTGGACCGTACAGAACCAGTGGTGACGTACTGTCTCCTGTAAGATACCTGAAAATGTGCGCAACCTTAAATTAGTGCCAGATTCAGAATCAAAAAATGTGTAAAATATTTCGTAGAATGTATCAGGTAGATTTACCAGTTTTTATTTTTTTAAATTGAAATTACGAGGGTGGTCTAAAAAGTTTTCGACGTAACAAAGATGCGAGACATTTTTTTCAAATATTTTTCCAAATTTTCAAACAATTCAACTCGATACACTCCTCCCAAGGATGCTTTCATCTCTGCAACCCATCCAAATAATACTCGGCGTTTTTCTTTGCAAAGTAATTGTTCACGGAGGTGATTCCTTCTCAATTGACGGAAATATCTGTCCTCCGAGCACAATTTTTAGATGAGGGAACAAAAAGAAGTCACTTGGGGCTAGATCTGGTGAGTAAGGCGGATGGTCAAGCAGTTCAAAGCGTATTTCGTGGATTTTCGCCATGGTAACCGTTGATGTGTGAGACAGTGCGCTGTCTTGGTGTAAAAGGATTTTTTATGGCCGTTTTTCCGTGAGTTCTGCTTCCAGATTGTCAACTAATGATGCGTAGTATGCTCCTGTAATGGTTTTCCTTTTTGAATATAATCGATTGAAAATAACTCCATGACTATCCCAAAAACAGTCTCCAACACTTCCCCAGCCGAAAAAACATGTTTTGGTTTTTTTTAATTCGATTTCTCTTTTGCAGTCAACTGTTTGGACTGTATTTTTGTTGGAGGTGTATGATAGTCTATCGAAGTTCCATCTACAGTTGCGCCTAAACTGTGTCAAGATATTGTTGCAAATGTTCATTCGAACACGTGTCTGGGCGGCCGCCTAGCACCATTTGGTGAATTTTGGCGATATTTCTTGTTTGCCGAGTTCAAGATTTCTGCAGTATTGATTTATCAAAACATGTCCTCTTTGCAAACCAATTTGAATAGTTTTTTCAGCTGCTTACCCTGGCGTTCATAATTTTTGGTACGTTTCCTATGGTCTTTGCTATGAAACTCATGAATATACCAAAAATAAATTACGAGTACATTACAACAAAATGGAGAGTTGAACAAAACCCACTGAAATCAACAAAAATTTGATCTCGATGAAAATTCAACAAAAAACTCCCGAACGATCCTAGAAGCTGACCCACACCGCATTCCTAGGGGACGTTATTTAGATCGAATATCATTTCGCCTGTAGAACAGCAAATAAAGAACTCGCGTTCCCTGAGCACGTATTTTTCCTGCACGAAGAATCCTCGTACGTCACCAGCAGTTGTAGCCGACATAGAAGGCATGGATCACGACGATATCAATGTCGAATCATTTTTCAAATCGAAACCAAACTCCAAAGCCTTGATAATCTTCGTGTAACCATCGTGGCTACATTCGAAAAACTTCAGATGCAATATGAAGATAACGGAAAGTTTCAGGTGCATTATTTGCTCCCACGCTTCAACCTGCTCATTAGCAGGTTGGCCGACGAAGTCGGCCCTTTGAACTGTTCTTGGAGACGAGTACCCCAGGTTCTTCCCTGGTAGTCTTCACTTTCTCAGTGTTGAGGGACAGCGTGGGGAAAGGCTGGATATTTTTAGTAATGTAGTCTCCAGCATGATGAATGCTCGACATCAGTTGCCCCCCAAATATGTTGCTTATCGGTGTAGGTACTGGCGAAGTTGGTCCATCTGGTTAGATCTCTTTCATTTTCTGATTTCATTACCTTCCACCCATTACTTTAATCTGG